AAAAAAAAAAAAAGAAAAGTTAAAAAAAAAAAGAAAAAAAGAAAAGAGAGAACTTCAGTTACTGATCTAAACTTCTATCTTAAAAATAAGCAAATTAAATATCAAGCAATCAAAATGATGGAATGACAAGAGCAACTAATAAAATAGAATCAAGGGAAAATTACATCAAAATTTTATTCTTTGAGATCAATAAAATTGATACATTTCTAGCTAGAAACAAGAAATAAAGATGAATAAAATGGAGCTATAACTACAGGCACTTCACATATTAAAAGAATGGGAGCATACTACAGGCAACTTTATGACAATAAGTTCAACAATCTAGACAAAAGTGCAAAATTGTCTGAAAGACAAAACTGCCAAATCTGAGGTAAGAAGAAGAAAAGCCCAACATCATTCATTATTTTCTTGAACTATGTTAACATATCATTCAGTATATTGGAGGAAATATATTTCCTCAAAATTATACTAATATAAAAATATAAGATATAAATGTAATTAAGTATATTCATTATATCAGTTATGTCAATAGATTCAGCTCCTCACCATTTAATGCCATTAAGGGCACCTATGAAAACACTGAGGGTTAGCCAAATAGTTCAGCAGATTAAAGCGGCTGCAAGCAGGCACAGGGGCAGGGGTTCGATCCCATGGCCTGCTGTGCCAGCCCCGCCCCCAGGGCACAGAGACAGCAATTGAGACTGGGCGTGGTGACATGTGCCTGTAATTCCAGCCTTTGGGAGGCTGTGAGCAGGCAGATCACTAGGAGTCCGATCTAGTAGTGAGTCTGAATACCCTGTAGACCCTTCCCTAAAATACAAAAAGAAAACTCCGAAGCTAAGGGTGTAAGGCTGAATGATGCATTTCAAGGTGACAAACAAGTAGAGGACACCATGTATCAGTGCTTCTGTTTGACCCTGCACTGGAGGCTCTGGCCAGGGCAACACTGCAAGGAAATTAAATGAAGGAAAAACTGAAGAAGAAATAAAGTAAAATTCTTCTGATGTGTGGATGATACAGTTAAGTATGAGTACAGCCAAGAGAAAAGAATCGAAACAAAAACTGAGCTTCATGAGCTGGCATATACAAGAATATATGCAGCCCAAATCCAAAAATGAATATATGAAAGCAGTTACATCTACCTATGCTAGCAGTAAAATATTGGAAAAATTAATGAGCAACTCCATTCACAGTAACATAATAATTGAAAATAACTTCAGTAAAAATTGTGTACTTGTACGCTGAACCTTCACAATATTGCAAAAGGAAGAGAAAGTAGGCCTAAATAAATGAGACATATGTTCCTTATGGCAAAAATTAATCTTCCTAAACTGTTGCTCTCCTTAAATTCAACATGTTAGTGTAGCAGATTTCAATCAAAATTCTAGAAATATTTTGAAGAAATTGAGAAATTAATTGAAAAATTTTATCTGGAAAAGGAAAAGGCCTAGAATTGTCAATGCAATTTTGAAAAATAAAATAATGTAATTGGAAGAATTACACTATGTAATTTCAAGCAACAAGTACTCAACAGTGTGGTGTTAGTGCGAGCATAGGAATATAGAGCAATGGAACAAAACCCTGGATTAGCCCATTCATTTTGTTAGCTGATTTTTGATTAAGGTAATCAAGTAGAGAAAGAAGAATGGTTCATTTTGTCTTCTTTGTAGTACTTGAGGCCAAGGATTGAAGCAAAGACCTTTGTACTGGGCTACCTTCCCAGTTTGTTCTTCTTTTAATTATTCTGTGGCAAGTTCTTGCTAAATTACTAAATTTTCTGAAGGAGATTAAATTTGCAATCCTCCTACCTCAACCTCCCAGAGGGCTTAGGTTATAAGGAGGTACCAACATGCCCAGTAAAGATAGCTTTCTTAAAAACAAAACTTGTAGGGCTGGAGGTATAGCACAGGGGCCAATGTTCAATCCTTGGTACCACATGCCACACTGGCCTTGCCCCTGGGCACTCTGAGCTGGTGATGGAGTCTGGGTGTGGTCATGCATGCCTGTAATCCCAGCCCTAGAGAGGCAAAAATCAGGAGGATCACTGTGAGTCTGAGCTGCTTAGAGAGATGCCGCACCAAAACAAACAAACAAACAAAAAAAAAAAAAACCTTAAAAAAATTGTAAGCAGCTGCATACTTTTATGAAAAAGAATTTTAAAACTCAGCCCTTAATAACTACAAGATAAAATGTGAATCTATTTTAAGAAATAAAATTGTTATACCTTGAAAGGAAATCATACGAAAAATTCCTTTTGATATCAACTTGGGCAAAGACAACTCAACTAATTAAACATAACTATGAAGTAAAAATTGATAAAAATAGTCAGCACTAAGATTAAAAACTTATGCTCTTCACAAAATGTTTGTCTACCATATTGTGATGGTTAATCTTACATGTCAACTAGACCAGGCTAACAGATGCTAGATACCTGGTAAAATATTCTTTCTAAATGTACCTATGAAGGTGTTTCTAGGTACGTTTAGCATTTGAAGCATCACTGGTGCAGGTAGGCACTATCTAGTCTATCAAAGGCTCTTCTGGAGCAAAAGGTGAAGGAAGGACCAACCTGCCCTGTCTGAGCTGGGCCTTTTGTCCATATTGTTTTTCTTGAGTATATAGATAGGCAACTCAATCAGAAGAGATCATTGGATATAAGCAAAGGTAAGAATCACAGTTTTTCTCACAGATGTAGTGCAAAGAGTATTCTAAAAGTAATTTCATTTACTTACATTTCATTAGGAATACTTCAGTCACAAGGTCACACTGCCAGTAGAGGAAGCTGGGAAATGGAGTATTTGTTTTGGGAGGAATAAGAGAGCTCAGATGCACCCCTACATGTGCAGACACTCGATTAATGAAAAAGGTAAAACTGCAAAGGATCAGGGAATGATAGATATTTTATAAATGGTACCAGAAAAGGAACGCTTGACCTCAGTTTATACATTTATAAAAGTCAGTCCTAGGAGGATGGTAGATCTAAATGTAAAAGACAAAATAATAACCCCCCACTGCTTTTTTTGTTTTATATTTTTTAGGACAGGGTCTACAGAGTCTACAGGTTCTCACCATGTAGATCGGACTTGTAATCTTCTTGTTTACAGCCTTCCAAGTGCTGGAGTTACAGGCGCGCACCACCATGCCCAGTCTCAGTTGCCAACTCTGCACGTCCCAGGGGTGGAGCCGGTATGGCAGGCCCTGAATGGAACTCTTGGCCCCTGAGTTTGCCTAAGCAGGCACTTTAATCTCCTGAACTATTTGGCCAGCCCTAATAACCCCTTTAGAAAGGGACAGAGCAATTATTTTGTGACCTTAGTTTACAGAAAAATTTTTAAAAGATTGACAATATTGTATATGTTATGCTTTGTGTCTAGCTGTCCCCCCAAAGGTTTATGCAGTCATGGGGCAGACTTCTGGAGTTTGTGATTTACTGATGATCCACTGGGATTATGGGTGTGAGTGCTTCTGGGATTACAGGTGTGAATGCTGCTGGGATTATGGGTGTAAGTGCTACACACAGCCTGGGGCAGACAGCATGAACACAACACAAGGGAGAGACTTGCTCTATTGCCATTGTTGCTGCTATGCCCCTTTTGCTCTCTGTTCTTTGCTGTCACTATGGAAGGCTGCTCTCTGCCATGTGCCACTCTGCCTTGGAGCCAGCTGAGTATGAACTGAAACCTGTACTGACTGTGAGCTAAATAAACCTTTTCTTCCTTCAGTTTAGGTGTTGGGTATTTGTCCCAATAACAAGAGAAGAGTAACTGAGATAATATGTAAGGATTTCTAGCATCAAAAGAGGCTCTTGGTGGGCTGGCCAGACAGCTCAGCAGATTAAAGAGCCTGCTTGAGCAGATTCAGGAACAGGGTTTCAATCCCTAGTGTGCCTTGCCGGCCCCGCCCACATTGACTGGGCATGGTGATGCACACCTATAATCCAGTGCTTGGGAGGCTGAAACAGGAGGATCACTAGGAGTCTGATCTGTGTATTGAGACCCTGTAGGGACTTTGTTAAA